TATAAATTATATACAATTATATACAACTCAGTATATATATATATATATATAAATTATATACAATTATACATAATTACAATACGAAATTGGATCGATGAAAATATAAAATTAAATAAGAGAAATCCTACATTTAATCAAAGCGCATCTTAATAGCTTAAATATTTCTGTGTGAATTTATATCTGATTCTGCAAATTGCGCAATGAGATTTTTTTTCGGTTTTGAAACGTAATCAGGAGCAAAACCAGAATAGTAACAAAATAAATTATATATATGTATATATTACGTTTTTCTTTATATCACTAATTATTATCACTTTAACTTCACCTTTTTAAAATTAATATGTTGATGAATAGAGCGAGAGATTTTCATCTACCTAATTTCAAGTTATGAATTTTTTTCGTGCTTGAAAAAAGTGGATAAAAATTTACACTCGTGCAAACGGAAAAGCTATTGGGGTTATCTCTCTCATTTTCGTTTTAAAAAGGCATGTATGATGACGCAGTCTAAATTTTTTCGAAATTGCGAACAAATTTTTTGCAGCACGTGTTCACGTTACTCAAACGAAACTTTATGATGCATGCCCGGTCTTAATTAAGCTCATACATCTCCTTGGATGCTCCTCTTGAAAAATATTGCTAAAGTTTGTTCCAACATTCATTATACTTTAGTAATATGCGCTGCTCTAACCCTTTGACGCGTTACATAGTTAAAATGATTCTGCGCGTTGTTCAGAATTCTCACGTTATACGTATATCTTCAGATGGACACGTTAAGTCGATTGTAATGTGCATCTCCTATTTTTCAATTCCAACCGCGAAACCTGTGTTAGAATCGGCGTAAATGATAGGGGGCACGTGAAAACGGGAATGGCGAATTATAGAGCGCGAAAGAAAGCGCTATCGATTTGCGGAGAGAGCATCGAAATGCGTTCCCGTTTGTAATTCGAGTGCGAAACTACAGGAGGAAACTTCCTCCCCAAGACATGTATCTCGGTCTCCGAGATAACGTATAGTCATGTCGTTTGTCACAGAATCTCGCTACGCACGACCCCGTCCTTTTGCCCGCATCTTCCGTAAGTCCCTACGTTTCCAGTTACTGCACGAAGATCAACTCCAATGCGCATCATTAAAGAATTTCCAGTTGCAGTCTTATGACAGATATATTTCTTAACGTGTAATTTAACTTCAATTGATAAACTCCAAAAGCTTTTATCATGTTCGTGTACATATAGGTAATAGTTTATTTCTGAAATAAAA